AGAAGATATGACATGGTGAATTATTTCACTTGCTTTTATATCATGTTTTGTTATTACTTTGTATTTTCCTGAAAGTCCTATTTGAAGCAACAAATCTATCACTAGCACATTGTGCTTGACATTGTTCTATAACATATAGATGTTCGAGATAAGAGTTCTTCATGTTGTATAAGTGATGGATGTTCAACCCTATCCGTACGTCGTGTTTTACTATCGTATCCATACGACGTGGTGAACTCTGTGCCCCCACTTTCAAAAGAGGAAATTTACTCGTTAATTCGATCCGTTCGCTTTGCATAGTTGTCTGTCAAAATGATGTTTTGAGAAATTCTGAAAGTTTCAAAGAGATCTTCGTACTAGAAGTATTCTAAAATGTGAAGAATACAACCCCTGGGGTACAAAATGACACCAGGCGTACGGATAGGGTTAAGATAAGAATTCATTATGATGTTGTATGAGAGACAGGTGTTTACGATAGAGTTAATACTGTTCTATAAGAGATGGATGTTTAAGATAGAGTTGATTCTGTTCTTTCAAAGATGGATGTTTAGGACAGAGTTCATCAAACTAGTAGAATCAAACAAACCATTTCCAAACAGGGAAAACGGCATACTCAGCACAATTGTAATCTCATAACGAGTTTGAACTTTAAAAAAATGATCGCACTGTTTGGCCTTTCAACGAGTCTACCAGTGTTCTCATCTTACTTCTGTGATAGATTTGAAACAATGGTGAAATTGTATATTATGCTTAACGCCCCTGTCGACACTGTTAGGTTATTAAAGAGGCCATACCTTTGAGTATAACGTCCATCTCCGAAAGGACCGAGCAAAATGGGAATTTCGTGTGAAGTGCCTTTCCCAAGGACACAACGTCGGACCGAGCTGAGGCTCGAACCCCCGAACCCGTAATCTCACGATTTGAGGTCCGGTAGCCTAACCAATTTTATACGCTTGGGAAGAAAGTTTTTTTTTTGGGTGCTCTTTTCTTTAGTTTTTAAAAATCGTCTCCTAATTTCTATAAATACGAATCGTATCTGCACTTGCTCGTGTTGAAAAGGGGCGTACACTGAGTACCATGACAAGGGGAAAGAACTTACCGGCGATGGCGGCGAAGGTGAGGTAAGCCACCTTGATGTAGATGCGCTGCCACAGTGGTCGGAAGACCAGCATGATGATCTTAATGATATAGAGGAGGACTGTGAGGAAACCGGCGATGAACGACGGGATGATGAAGGCTCGGGCCACGAACAGTAGCGATGGGACATCGTCGAAACCTGAAGGAGGGGGAAAGGGAGGTGGGCATGGAGATGTGGTTATTTATTGTTGACGTTTTCGTTGTTGCTGTTATTGTTTTTGTTCTTATTGTTTTTGTTCTTATTGCTGTTGTTGCTGTAGATATTGGTGTTGTTGTTGTTGTTTTAGTTATTGTTGTTGTTGTTGTTGTTTTAGTTATTATTGTTGTTGTTGTTGTGGTTGTTGTTGGTGGTGGTGGTTATGTTGTCAATGTGCACCAATCATATCAACCTAAAATACAAACTTGCCACTTCCCTCCCCCCTTCCACACACACCCACAAACAAACCCTACGCCCCCCTCCACCCACCCAC